GGCCCGGGCTGGGGATTCGAACCCGCCACCTTAGGTGTATGTGGCTGGTGCCTTAGCCGCTTAAGCCACAGGCGCCGAGCCTTTTCATCTTTTTTTAAGGATTCTCATGTAACATCAGTTTTTTTCTCTATACTAGGCTATCATTATCAGCAAACATTTTATCATTCTTTATCTTAACAGCAACAAAAACTTACAGAAAACCATCCCTTGACTCTCACATCCTCCAGTTACCATCCTATTTCTGTCTCTTTTTTACCACGAAATCCTTTGAATGAGTTACCTTTACTGCTTCTCTGCTTACCTAGTCCTAGTCTTTTGGCTGTACCTCAATACCTCAACATCTCTTGTCAAGGTCACTTGACCTCCTTGTTGCTAAATCCAAAGTTTATTTTCATTCTTGGCATATCAGTAACATCCGACATCCCTTGATACCTTTTCCTCTTTTAGTCTCTCAGATTTAATCTCTTGGTTCTCTTCACTAGCTGCTACTCCTCAGTCTTGTTTGGCTGGATTTTCCTCATCTTCCTTATCTCAGAATGTTCGGGGACTTTTGAATACCTCTTCATTTATACTTAATCCTTGGGCTATTTTTCATGACTCAGTCTCTGCTACCCTAGTCTAAATCACTATTAGCTCTGGCCTAGACTACTACAAATTTATTTATGTATCAGGAAAAAACCTGTCAGATCATGGTAGCATTTTCCCAGACCTAAAATTGGGATATTCTAAACTTAGTACATAATTTCTATACACTTGAGTTTAAGGTGACTCCTGAGGACTTCTGTTTGCTTGCTTCATATATAAGAGGGTTTGATTCTAAATATAAGTAATTACTAACTTTTTCTTTTTTTTGAGACAGGGTCTTACTTGGTCACACTTGGTAGCGTGTGTGGCATCTTAGTTCACAGCAACCTCAAACTCTTGGGTTCAAGCTGGTAGCTGGGGCTACAGGCACCTGCCCCAGCGCCTTGCTATTTTTTTTAGAGACCAGGTTTCACCCTGGCTTAAGTTGGTCTTGAATTCATTCATGAGCTCAGGTGATCTACCTGCCCCAGCCTCCCAAGTTCTGAGATTACAGAAGTGAGCTGCCATGCCCAGCAATTAGTAATTTTAATTCCGGGTTGGCATTCAGTGCTTCAGAGAAGGAGAAACTTGTCCTACGAGTAACTGTTTAACTGTGTGTACCTAACGCATCTTTATCCTAATCGTGATTGTGGGGATTGCAGTAGATAATAGGAAGGGCTCGGCACCTGTGGCTCAAGTGGCTAAGGTGCCAGCCACGTACACCTAAGGTGGCAGGTTCAAATCCTCCCGGGCCCACCGAAACAACAATGACAGCTGCAACCAAAAAAATAGCCGGTCGTTGTGGCAGGTGCCTGTGGTCCCAGCTACTTGGGAGGCTGAGGCAGGAGACTCGCTTGAGCCCAGGAGTTGGAGGTTGCTGTGAGCTGTGA